GACAAGTGGAAATGAGTGGGCCCGCCAACAATACGCCGAACATAGTGAACTATCCAAAATGAGGATCAGCGGGCTCTGAAGGAAAGGGAACGAGAGAAAGCTTTGACGTCAAATTGGTGTTGTTTAATCGATCTAAGTTGAGTTCGGTCAGTCTAGGGATATATTTACGCAGCTCACTAATACATTAGTTGTCGCAATTTCCTTACTAGACCTAAAAAATCCACACTGACGGGAAGACGGAAGTGCAATATCGTGTGTGATAACTCACCAAAGCCAACAGCAATAGGTGACGTGACGTCTAAACAGGAGACTAGAAGGCCTTAGAAGCCTCTGTTGCAATGTTCTGCATGAATGAGCTAGCCAGGGTTTACCAGAGCCGAATATACCAGTAGAAAGGGCTTTCATGACCGAGAAAATCCTGCACCAACGGCGACGAACGAAATTGAAGCGTATAATTAAATTGAGCAAATTGCATCGACCTAACTGGTGCTGGTAAGATAGGCTTTGCCCCGAATGCTCTATGAAGTCTGAGAAAAGTGAGGCTCCAGGACTGCTCAGAATAAAACCATCTGAATCGGTTCTAATGAAAGGCCCAAGTAAATGAGCAGGTCTCTTTGATATGCAAGATGGGGTTTATTTACAAAATCACAAGGTAAAAAGTGATAGTAATAATAAGGTAAAAAAGAAAGAAAGAAGAAAATGTCCAAGAGCCGTAGGCAGCAGCCGCAAGTCAGAAAGAGAAGAAAGTAAATTACCAAATCTGTTCTATCGCGAAATCACTCATTCCACACGGAAAGGCCGTCATCCGTGCAACAGTAGGACTGCGTCGGCAGTGGCCAAGTCGAGGCAATGTTTTTGCGCTCTGCTGCCATACCAGTGGCGGGGTCAGAAGAGGCGGCGGAGGCGGAGGTGCTACTTTTTACGTACACTCCGCCCACTGTCCGAATGAAATCCGCCAGTTGGCAGCGCAACATGCTGTTGGCCTTGGACAGCGAGTCCCGCGCTCCCGCAG